CTGTCCCCAGCTGTCCCCTCTGCTCCTCTGGCCTCGTCCCTCCTCCCTTCTCCCTCCCCTCCTGTCCTCCCCCTTCTCATCTGTGCAGCTGGGTTAGCACTTAACCTCTGCTGCCTGCTTGCCCAGGACAGAAGTGGCCCTTCACACCCTTGACCCTAGTCACACCTGGCTCCTGAATCCTGGAGAGGGTGACAGGGACTCAAGACCCCAGAGTAGCATCTAGGGTGGACCCAGTATTGAGGGACATTACCATTGTCTGTCACACCCTGCATTTCCTAAAGAAGGGCTCAGGAGTTGAACTGTGTCCCACCAGAAGGTCCTGATGTCACAACCTCCAGTACTTGGACTGTGACCTTTTGTGGAAATTAGGTCTTTACAGATGTGAGCAGGTCATAGGGGCAATCCACCTGCCTCAGTCATATAGTAGGTAGGGCCCAGTCCTGGACTCCAACCTCTGGCTGAGTGCTTATTGACTTTGAGGATTGAACATCTGAACATATAACACACAGGAATTCCTGAAACTCCAGGTATTTTAATTTTTGAGTGGGTCTTCCTCTCAAATTACCTCCAGAGCTGAGGAGAAGCCACCCTCATGCAACCCAGGTGGCCTTCCTGCCATTCCTCACACAGCCTGAATGTGTCTCCATTTCAGATCACTTACATGTTGGCTCTGTGTGTCACAAGTGTTCCTGAAAGATGGCAGATGGTTCTCTCTCCCCCTCTCTCCATTCCTCATGTCTTAGGAAAGCCCTGTCACCAGCTCAGAAGGGCCCTTCTTATCACTATCTAACATGGGGACCCTGACGACTCCGTCTCTCCCCTCACCATGACGTGATACTCCACAGTGGGTGTCTCTGCCTGACTCCACACTCTACATTTGATCCTGACCTAGGTTGACATTCATTTCTGTGAATGTGGGGTTATTATCTTTCTCCTCATTGGCACTGCATACTCTAGGACGGGGGGACTTGGCTTTAACAATCTGCCTCCAGTCAGACAAGACATTCCCTGAAAATGGGAACATGGCCAGCCGCCATTGGCTGAACTCAAAGGCCAGGCCTTCCTCAGAGATTTGGTGTGAGGAACTAGGGACTCTATGTGGAGAGAGCATTCAGGCCCAAACAGGGCAGCTGTGGAGCTGTGAAGAAGAATGACTGTTGCTGCCCTGAGCCTAGTGCCCCTGACCTGCTCTGTGATCCTCATAAGTAATGTCTGATGTTCACGCCTGCCAGAGAGTAGGGGAGAATGATTTCCAATGTCTTTTCTGTGGCTAACCTTCATGATCATGTGTTTTCACCAGTTAGTTCTTCCCATTAGAACTTCTGGATATGAAGACTTGAGAGCCAAGTTTAGGCCTTGCTGGAAATGATGCCCAAGATGTCCAGTTGCCCAGCTCTGCTGCACTGATAACAGTGTGCACAGTCTTGTTGGTGTGCTGTGGGATAACCCTTACCAATGCCTTTGTGTTCACAGGTGGTGGTGGGATTTACAAATTGCTCATAAAAAAATAAATAAAATACACTTATTGTGTTTAGATTGCATTTGGTTTGACAGAAAATCCTGGGACTCTCTTATGGTGAGGTTGAACAATGATGTGGCTGGTCACTATCTTATGCAGATTCTAAGTCCTTTGAGTATAGAGTAAGGAGTAAGGTGCAGGAGACTAACACTACATAGCTCTGCTGCATGACCTCCAAATTTAGTGAATTGCATAGTGAACTAAAAGCAGCAGAGGTAGAGTTTATTTGGACTTTACCTTCATTACAAGATTATGAAGAAAAATTTCATAACACCTACCAGGGGTCACTGAGTGAACAGTCCAGTTCAGTTCTAAATGTATCCTAGGAAAACTGGTACCTTTGTTTGTGTCACTCTTGACAGGTGGTGCTTTAAATATGGGGAAATTGGAGAGGGGGAAACCCAGGGTCACTTATAGGACAACAGGAAACTGTGTCCCAAGTCTCAGTCAATTCCTAACCACTCATTACACCTCAGCTCAGATAAAACCATGTGTTAAATGCTGAGTAGAAATGATAGCTCAGAATATATCCTTCCTTTCACCATTGATGTAAGTTTTAAAAGTCCCAAACAGATCAATTGTTGTTTATGATGTAAACACCACCAGGGAGGAAAATAAATCTAGTCTGGAAATTACACTCCTCCAGATCATCATCATAACACAATCTGGAGATGCACGTGAATAAAAAGAACTCTAGGTGCTGCTACATTATATTTCTTGTTTTAAGAATGAGAAGCAAGTCTGGGTGATATTCATTTTGCATTGGTAGGCTTCTGTCTGTGTAAAATTAAACATGATTTTTTTAATGCAATATGTGACAAAGTGAATAGGGAAATTCCAGTCATTTTTACAAGCAAGTGATCATGGAAGCAAAAACAGGATCAGAATGAAGAAACGGGTTTTAAATTCTGTCAGAGCACTGTAGGTACACATGGGAGTTGGGTTCATGCAGAGAAACCCACCCATGTGTGGAAGTTTATTTCCCTTCCTGATCCCCCTTCCCCGCATGCCCCTCCCCCTCCATTTTCCTCCTCTAACCAACTAGAATTCCTTTTGCTCCTGAATTATCTTATATTTCATTGGTTCTCTATGTTATCCTATCCTCCCCTCACACTTTTCATGTAGAAGTGGTTTTTATGTGAAGAACCCTTCAGTCCTGAACATGTCCCAGGACAGGAAAACCATCACAGTGTCCATGGAAGATCCTGGATCTGTCAGAGGTTACTCCCATGGGAACAGCCCTTTGGGGAAAGCCAACATCTTCTCCTGGTAAACTTTATCAAAGGCTTCAGCTTGGGCCACTGTGAGGTGATTCTTCCAGTCCCCACAGATGCCTGGAAAACATGAAGTAGACGCAGATCAGATCTAGGGATAGAGCTTAAGATGGCGACCTCCTCCCTGCTCTGTGTAGACAGCAGAGTGACCTCTGAGTCATTGGTGAGGCCCTCTTCTTCCTGGACACCATGTGCATTTCCTCTTCTCCCTGTCTGGAAAGTGTGTCCTGACTGCCTTGCTCTCCCAAACCATCCTGCGCAGAATCCACAGGTAGTGATCCTGTCTATAAATCAGACCATCTGGACTGGAGCTAAGTCTGACCACTTGTTTTTTTAGCACTTTGACTCAAACTAACAAAATTTGTGATCTGGGTAATGAGAGCAGTTCACACCTAGTCTCTGCTTTGGCCAATCCCTGTGATCAGTTCTTCTGCACAAGGAACCCATGTTGACCCTTGCCTAACCCACTGGGTCCAGTCCCTTGGGGCTCAGAGTCTCCCAGGACGTCCAATCTCCTTCAGCCAAGTTCCCTGGTGCTTTGAGGCTCTAGCTGCAGGGTCCTTGTTGGTTGACTCCATCCCTGGGACTGCCCATTTGCTCTCTGATCCATGACACAATCTTCTGATTCAGCTTCAGACATGCCAGGCTTCCCCCTCCTCAGGGTGTTTACCTTTCCTGCTCCTTACCCCAGAGTCTGTCCCAGCAGAGACCTTCCCCTCTGTCCATTGGCCTCACTCATATGTTTACTCCAGTGCAGTGACTCAGTGGGGCTCTCAGCTCAGAACCCTACATCTCCATCCTCCTTCATAGCAATGATCAAACATGAGATGTTCTGTGTACTTCCTTCTTGAATGTGCATAAGGTATGCATTTCTAACATATGAAGGTATGAAAGTATTTTCACAAATTGCCTAAGAATTACTGCTTAAAGGAATTACACCATATATGCTCAAAAAATATTTTTTGAAAGGACTGATAAAGAATGAGGAATAGACTAGCATAATACCCTGGTTTACAGACAAGGATTTTAAAAACTCCCTGGAGGGATTACCCTGTGACAGGGTGGTGGTGGTGTAATGCTAAAGATTTGAACATAATTTTTATCTTTTACTCAGGTAATTACAGCATTATTTGTCATATATATTAATTTTCACATAGCAGACTGATCTAATTAATGAATTAATTAAAATATAACAATAACTAACCCAATGTAAGATATGCAAGTAAACAATATACTCAAACGAATATAAAGTAGCAGCCTGTGTCATATGTCATGGCTGTCCTAATACCACAAATGACTCATACTCATCTTCATTAGTAGAACAATCTTTACTGATTTCCTTTGCTATTCCTGGGCTCCTCCTCAAGTCCCATTCCCATCTCTGTTTTATGGCTCTGTGCTCCAGGCTCACTGGGTGGCCTGACCTCCTGAATATCCCTTGAAGCATTTACTATATTGATTCCATGGGTCACCATTTGAGATCCATGTGAACTGGAGAACTTTGCAAAACAGGTTCTGTCACTATGTGGAGTAGACATTTTCAATAGGCCTGAACCCAAGGGTGGAGACACGATTCATTTTTACTCACAGGAAGGAGGCCTTACAATGTCTCATAGCAAATGCCCTCCTCTCTACTCTATCCAATCGTGTCTTTCTTTGTGTATCTCTCTCTTTAGGGCACTGCTCTGTGGTAAGTCACCAGTGGAGTGTCCCAGACACCACCATCTCCAGAAAACCCCTACTCCCCAAGACCGAGTCAACCTTCTCCAGGTACCTGCAGCCCATCCCAGTCCCATGAACACAGTTTTCCTGAAGGAAACGAGAGGCTCTGGGCCATGAAGGATTCAAGTTGAAATGTCCCAACACCTGCATTCTAAGTGCCGGGGGCAAACACAAGATGCCCACGTAGTCTAACCCATTCTGAAACCAGGGCATTTACCTTTTCTTGTATTTAAGAAAGGCTTAATAATGAAAGTTTCAGGCAACATTTGAAAGTTGGACATCTTGTTTTGATTCATGACTTGGAAGGAGCTGTTCTTGAAAACTGAGTCCAGTTCTTCTGGAGTCAACTTCTTTCCCAGGAACTGACAGATCCTCTCTATGGTGCTTCTTGGGTCCTACATGTGAAAATGAAGAGGGAAGCTATCAACAGGCAGCAGAGCAGGACTTGGAGGATGGGAAGGGGTGTTAGGAGGGCTGTGGGGAGGAAGAGGAGGGGAATGACATCAGGATGGGAGAAGCCTGCTGGGGATGCCAGAGGAGAGAGACAGAGACAGGGCCAGTAGAGGGTGTGAGGTATGTGGTGACCTGAAGATCACAGGGGCTTCACCCGAGGCTGAGCCAGGACAAACCTAAGGCAGGGACTGGGGTTTCCAAGGAGACACCTGAGGTTTTAAGATAACAAAGGAAGACAAAGTCTCCAAAGGCTAATCCTCACCCCAAGTGACCCTGCGTCCCTTGACTGGCACTGAATAACACACGGGGATTTACAATATCTCCTTAACTTGACTCCATGGTTATCGATGGGTTTTCCTGGGAGATCACAGCAAGGGAACAGGTCATTATGAGAAGAGAGGATTTCCTTGGAGACCTAGACCTCCTGTCAGCACCATAGTCCTTTATTATAGTCATGTTTTCAGGAGCCCCAGTCACTGAGTGACAAGAAGACCCCACGGTGGCAATGATGTAAGAACATGATGTTGGTTGAAGAGGAGAATCACAGGGACTGTGCAGCTTGCTGCTGAGGTGGCTGAAGGTGGCACCAAGGCTCCTCCCTGAGGACTGACCTCATGCTGAGGACACAGCAGAACAGGAAGCACCTGCAGGAAGGTGACCAGGGTCCCTTCTCCAGGGAAAACAGATGCCTGAGCCTGTGGCACCTTCTCTGTCCCCAAGACTCACCCACAGGAGAAGTGTTTTCTAAGGTCTGGTCACTCCTTTACATTTTGTTCATTTTGACCACTTCTGAAAAAGCTTCTAAATATTTTAAAGCTTTCTATTCCATATGGACCTGTGAGCCTCCCTCAGAGCCCTGTGCATCTCTGTGCTGTTCATGGGCAGTTTTTTCTGCACCAACAAAAAAATAGCATTAGGCTAAGTACCTGCTCCAAGTGTGACAATCCAGTCAGTGTAAGTGGCACATCTGGAAACTCAGATGACAATATTTATTTAGTTGGGAATATTCAAAATCCTCTCCATTTGCTATTTTGAAATATATACTTAGTTACTCTTCTCCTCAGTTGCCACCTTGTGCCTCAGATCACTGGAAGTCATTACTGTTCTCAGCTGTACCCTGCCCACACCACCAGGGCTGAGCTCATCCCTAGGCCCTGCCTGTTACTCCAGGCCCTGACCCCTCACAATAGTTACCCAAAGTGGCACCTCACATTCATGTCACTTTGTCAGTCAAGGGGGAAGCCAGAAAGGTGGACCTAACTCTGGGATTAGTGCTTTCTGCCCCACCCCTTCTAAAGGCTAGGTTTCTGGGAACAGAGCAGGTCCTGCAGGCACAGACCCTGGCAGTCCTAGCGGGTGGCATAAGCCATGTCACTCTACCTCGGTTTGTGGAAGGGTTCTAGAGGTTGCCAGATGCAATTATTTGGAAGATATGAAGAAAGATCTTGGAGCTTGGGGAGCATCTCCCAGAAGCAGGGAAGGCAAAGGCTCATCTCCTCTCAGTGACCTCCACAGCCTATGCTTTGACAGGGAACATGGAAGGAAGATACTGAAGACCATGAACGTTGAGGAAAGTGAGGATGTTGGGGTGCTGTAGGCGCCAACCATGAGAGGGGGCTCACCTTCTGCAGCTCTTCATAACTCAGTAGCAGGACGTTCTCTCTGTCTCTCATGGACATCCAGCCACGAATGTGCTGGAACCATGATCCATAGGGCACTGTGGGGCAGGCACAGGGGTGCAGGTTACACACTGCCAAAACAGGGCTGTACCATCCGTGTTACTCTACACACACTGACAGCTTGATTCACATATTATTGATCAATGCTACTCAAACTATGTAAGGAAATAGAGAGGGGGATCTTTCCTGAATACATTCTATGAAACTAGTCACATAGTGATACCAAACTGGGAAACACAGATCAAGTAAGAAAACAACAGACCAATATTCCTGTTGAACACAGATACAGAACAGCTTATTAAAATTTCAGCAAATCCTATTCAGCATTAAGATTATACTCAGGACCTGATGTGTTCACACTTTAATACTGTACATTACGAGATGCTGATTTCAATCCAGGGATGTAAGGTTGGTCAACACAGGCAAATCCATAAATGTATTCCACCACATCAATAGAATTTGCCTTGACAGAGGAACTTGGCTGAGCATCATGAGGGCTGTGTGTGACAAACCTCAAGCCAACATCATGCTAATCGGGAAAAAACTGGAAGAATCTCCCCTAACATCAGGAACAAGGCAAGGATGTCCACTTTCACCACTGCTTTTCAATAGAGCTCTACAGACTTGAGCCAGAGGTGTTGGCAGAGAAGGGAATCAAAACCTCACCAGTGGGAAAGAAAGAAGCCGCGTGATCACTGTTTGCAGGTGATAGGAGGCTCTGCTGTGAACACCCAAGAACCTTTCCACAAAAACTCCTATAACTGATCAATTTAGGAAAATAGCAACATACAAAATGAACATGCAAAAAACAAGCACTTTTCTTCATCATGAGAATGAATGTGCTGAGGAAAAATTCAAGAATGCAATGCCATTCACATAGGTTTCAACAAATACCCAGGTAGAGGAATGTGGTGGTGCAAACCTGTATCCCAAATACTCAGGAGGCTGAGGCAGAAGGATCAAGAGTTCAAACCTGCCTCAGCAACTTAGGGAGGCCCTCTCTCTATATAAAGTATGACTTGGGATGTGGCTCAGTTATAGAGCACTTGACTAACACCTGCAGATCCATGGGTCTAATCACCAGTGTCATAGAATAATAATAATAATAATGCTCAAGTTATCATTTTTAAAATTCTATCCAGTCTCAAATCATACTGAAGAAGTATAGTAACAAAAAAGTGTGCTAATATCAAAACATTCACTTAGATCAGTAGATTAGAAGAGAAGACTCAGAGACAGACCCATAAAGATGGAGTCAAATGATCTTCAAGTAAGGCACCAAAAGCAAATGTTGGAGAAAACAAAGCCTATTCAATGAATGGTGCTTGGAAAACGGAAAATATACAGTTAGATTGATGAAGCTAAATCCTGCAGAAAAAAATCAACTCCAAGTGGATCAAAAACAGGAATTAGACCTTAAACACTGTAACTACTACTGGAAATCGTAGTCCCTATCCTCCTACCTGTAGGTGCAAGTGTTACTTCTATAAGACTCCTAGTGTTCAGGAAAGAAAACCAGGAGCTGATAAATGGAGAGGCTCAAGTTAAAAGCTTCTGCACAGTGAGGAGATGAGACAGAGAGAGAGAGGGCTCACAGAAGGGAGAAAATCTTTTCCAGCTAATTTCTGACAGAAGATTAACATCCAGAACATAAAAAGAAGTCAAAATAACTTCATTATTATTATTTCTTTCTTCTAATTAGTTATACATGAAGTAGAATGCATTTTGATTCCTTGTACACAAGCGGAACACAACTTTTCATTTCCCTGGTTTGCACATTGTGGAGTCTGCACTCACACATGAACTTAGGATAATGATGTCCATCTCATTCCACCGTCTTTCCTGCCCCCATGTCTCCTCCCCAGCTTTGCCCAATCAAAGTTCATCTGTACTTCCCTTGACCACCCCTCTTTGTTCAGGGTCAACTTATCACAGAGGACATTTGTCCCTTGCTTTTTAACATTGGCTTACATAGCATAGCATGATATTCTAAACCTCCATCCATTTACCTGCAAATGCTATAATTTTATTCTCTCTTAATGCTGAGTAATAGTCCATTGTGTCTAAGTGCCATAGCTTCTTTATCCAACCATCTATTGAAGGTCATCTAGGTTGCTTCCAAGTTTAGCTGTTGTGATTGAGCTGGTATGAATACTGAAGTGGCTGTGTCACTATTGTCTGCTGATTTTAGGTCCTTTGGGTAAACACCAAAAAGTGGAATAGCTGGGTCAAATGTGGTTCCATTCCAAGACTTCTAAGGAATCTCCATACTGCTTTCCAGAGTGGTTGCACCCATTTGCAGTAACTCAAGCAATGTATGAGTCTGCCTTTTCCCATTATCACATCCTACCACACTTCTTGTTGCTTGTATTTTTCAAAATTGCCATTATGAATGGACTGAGATGAAATCTTAGAGTCGTTTTAATTTTACATTTCTCTACTTACTGAAGATGTTGAACACTTTTTCATGTATTTGTTCATTGATTGTAAATCTTCTTCTGAGAAGTGCCTGTTCAGTTCCTTAGGCCATTTAATGATTTGGGATAAGACCAAAAATCTTAACACCAAAAATCAAATAACCAAATAAACAGATGGGAAATCACAATCATTTCTCAAAAGAAGGAATACAATGGCCAATAATTTCATGGGAAAAATTTTCAATGTCTTTAACAACCAGAGAAAAGAAAATTGATACTACACGGAGATCGTGTCTCACTCCAGTTACAATGGAAATCATCAAGAACACAAATAGGAATAAACACTGGCAGGAACTGAGTGAAAAGGAGCACTTACACACTATTGGGATTGGAGACTAGTACAACACCATGGAAATCAGTCTGAAGTTTCCTCAAAAGACTAGGAATGGAGCCAGCATGTGCCCTAATCATAGAGCTCCTTGGATCCATCAAAACAAAGTCAGCACACTATAGCAACACATGCCCCCAGGTGGACAGCAGTTCAACTCCCAGCAGCTGAGCTCTGGGACCAGCCTTGGTGTCCACTGACTGATGAATGGATACAGAGAATGTGGTTCATACACATAATGGATAGCACTCAGTCATAAAGAAGAACTAAATTATGTCATTTACAGGAAAATGGATGGAACTGGAGACCAGCATGCTATTGAAACAAGCCAGACTCACAGAGTCAAGGGTTGTCTGCTTTCTCTCATATTTTAAAAGTGTTCAGAAGAAGAAGAAAATAGGTATACCACAAAACAAGAGAAAGACCAGTGGAATAGAGGACACAGACCTATATGTGAAGAACACTCACCGTTTCCTTGGATGAACCACTGAAAATACTGTTCCAGTGACTCTGGTTTCTTACATACTTTTGTCATAATCCGATGATAATAACCTGACACAAGAACATCTTTGGGATTTCTCATGATATAGATCACCTTAAATTAGGGAAAATGAGAAAATGAAAAATCAGTCTCACTCATTTCCCACCTTGATCTTGGTCTTTCCCTGGGCAGTTCTTCCTTAATCTTTATTAGACATGTTGGGTTCCTTTAATAAATTAGTTATACCATTCATTTACCAAATATACATATTATTATTATTATTATTTTAATTTACATATATCAGCAGAATGCATGACAATTATTAATTTGTTAGATCTTAGATATCCATGATCTGTACTGATCACCCATTAGCCATGGGGAGCCTGGAGAGGCTGCTGATCACAGAGCACAGTGATGTGCAGAGAGCAGGTGTCATTACCTAGCAAGCCACGACTCCTAGCAGTCCCCTGGATGTGAGCATTCATCAGTGTATGCAGGTCTGCTCCCCACATACAGGCAACACTGACTTGGGTGCTCCCTTGTACCTGGCAAGAGGCTGTGATTGAGTGAGTATTGACGGACATCTGTAAGAGATGTATGCTGGGACACTCTAGTGTAGATGCAGTTATAATTCTGGTTACACATGGAAAGTGGTTTTCTAAGATTCTGACTTTAGCCAGTCGTATTACCCCTGAATTCAGCTGAGGCTAATATGCAGAATGGTCTTATTTCTTGCATGCAAGTGTGGTCTGGTTGTGGCCACATGAACCTAAATAATATCTGGGAATGGCAGTGTCACCAATCTACCCAGTGAGCACTCACCCCAGCAGATCTGCAGGGTTAACCTAGGCACATGGAAGGGGAAAGCAGGGGCTGAACATTAGGCACTGACCTTGGCCTTGGAAGTGAATAGAGACTTGGGGAAGAGATGGAAGGGGAGGTGAGAGGACATGAGCCGCGGGCCTTCTCTCTTATTTAAACGTTTATAACCATTATCTGTCTCTATCCAGGGTGAGCGTTCCCAGGTGGGCACAGATCGAATCCACTTCGTATCACCATTGGAGTGAATCAGGGAGAGAATTTCAATCATCCAGTTGGTTCCTAGAAGAAGAAAAATTGACTGTCACCCACTTCATCTGACTTGTGAACAAAACTTATGATAAATTACATAACATGCACTTTACCATCTGCCCATTTTAAGCATGCCATAGGGTGGTGCTGTGCAGAGTTCAGCATGTTCCTGCTGTTGCTCAGCCAATGTCCAGATGCTTTTTGTCTTGAAAAACTGAAACTCTCTGCTCATTAACAACATTTCCCTACTAATTCCATCTTTCAGGCCCTGGAACCCACCATGGGGCTCTCTGTTTCTGTGAACTTGACTACACTTTGCCCCATGGATTCCTATACTATTTGTCCTTTTGTGCCCATCAGACTGCACTTAGCATGAGGCCCAGTATTGACCTATATTGTAGGAGGAGTCAGCCTGTTGTCCTGGTTAAGGCTGAATCTTACTCCATTGGATCAACTCGCCACATTTTTTTTTGTTTTTGTTTTTTTTGCATGTTAAACTACCAGTGGATTTTTGGATGCTTCCAACCCTTGGCTCTTGACTGAAATCCTTCTAATATGTCCCAACTTCCCTTGACTTTCCAACCTTGTGTCCCTTCAAAGGCCATTGGTCCGAATCCTCACCCAGTTTGCAGTGCTCCTGCCCCCAGCCCCTCTCCTGTAGGTGCATGGCACCTGTCCTTTCAGTCCCTTGAATTTTCCAGGCTCTTTCTGATTCCCAGGCTCTGTCCATGCTGACCCTCCTGCTCTACAGTACCCCTCAGCCACATGACCTCCATTCCAACATTTTATTCCTATTGAGCTGGTATTTTCATAGTAGGTCTTCACAGATCACCCTCTTCCACCCACTTTTCCTGTTCCACCACACAAATTCCTGAATCTACTTAAGATTCACTCCTATATCTCCCTTTCATACCTCAGAGGACCTCTGCTGAGCACTTAGTCACTCTGTCCTAATCTGGATGCAAGTGGCCTGAGGCACTGCCCCTTCTTCCCCAAAGCAGGGGTCCCTGGCATGGAGAGGTCAGGCCATCCATCTGCTGAGCAAGAGAGGAATTCAGCCACCACCTTTCCCATAATGGTCCCTGTCCTGTTTCCTTACCTGATTTGGGGTAGGTCACCAATACTGTGTCTTCATCCTTTATCACAAACTGAGCACATGCTTCTTTCAAAACTTCATAGCTGTAACCAACCACAGGGAAACATATTTCTTCAAACCACAAGTAGCCATCTGTCATGGTGGTGAGCTCTCTGTGCGAGGTGCAGGGGTTCCTGCTGTGGCCACCATTGGATGTTGGAGGAGGTACTGGGAGGCTGGACTTTGAAGTAAAGTCAAAAGAATCATTAACTTTTCTGGTTGTCAAATTAACTGGGGGATTAAGCAAAATTGTGACTGGTGATCAAAATTTCTTTGCATTGAGCAATTTTGGACTCATTCAGGGAACAAAATCAGGATCTGAGCATGAGTTAATGGAAGGGGCCCCATAGCAAGTGCTGCAAAATAACCCACTGAGGAATCCGTGCGGCCTGAAGAAAGCCTTTTTTGTTGTTTATATGTGTTTTGAAGAGTTTTCAAATAGAAATTTTACATGAAATCAACAGATACAGTGTAAAAATAATAGCTGGAAGGACATTTTGGATTGTGGCCTGAAGACTCTAAAGGACAAGAAGTTGCTTCAGAGTCAGCAGCCAGAGGGGTGGACTGTCACTGACTCCAGGGTCCACTCCTCCCTTTGCTCTGATTAACATGTGGGAGTGGGTTGCATGGTGTCAGGATTTAGGGACTGAGATGAGAGCATCTTCATATCTACCACATCAAAGATCCATGGAAGCTCTGTTTCATCCTTGGTCGAGCAATCTCAGTGCCCAGGGGACTTGGGGACCAACAGCTCCACTTGTTCAAGCAACATGCCCATCCAGGGGGTCCATAAATAGCGACAAACTGATTCCAGGAATGCTGAAAGATGCACCTACATTTTTGTCAGTTCTCATGGGCTTCTGTCAGCTCCAAGGAAACCCAGCTGATCAATGACATAAACCCCACATTGAAGGCAATGGGGTTTCATGTAGATGTTGATGATCAGGAACAAAAATATTTTCCACTTTTCCTGATATTCCTGGGAGAATCAATAGACTGAGCACTTGTGTGTTGAACTAGAGCTGTGGACACTGAATCTAGATGTATGTGGCCACAGACTGCTGTGTGCGTCCTGGGGAGAATGACCAACAGTTAGGGCATGAGTATTCGTCTGGCTGAAGGCAGAGAAAAGTGAATCAGGCAAAGTTCAGGGGCACATGTGCTCTGGATAGACAGAACACTGTGCACATAAGACCAAAGAGCTACCTTGTATAAAAGGGGAAACTGTTTCCTGAGTTTTGTTTCATTACTAATATTGCCAAGTAATTCTAGAGAGTTATGGCAATCACGTGACCCTGTGAGTGCTCAGTAGTTATGGAGTGGTGACATGTGTCTAAAGCATTGTACACGCTTAATATGTTTCGCCAGTTGCACCGTCCCATCAATCCCATGGGTTGAATGAGGAAATATGGACACAGATGACAGAGTAAAATGGTGAGCTTTCTAATGGTTTAGTGGTGCACTGTGGTGACATATAATAGGTGGCTTCATTTTGACACAATCATACACGTGAAATGCCAGATTCATGAGACCCCGATAGAACTCCAGGAGCTGAATTCAATGCAATCACACAAGTGTCTTTATTGCAAGCTCGAGCCTGGGGTCACAACCGTTCCTGACACAGCGGTCCCATGGAGTGAGCCCCCGTCCTTTGTTCAGTGAGATTTTATAGGTTTTGGGAGGGATACTCTTTGCATCACAACATCACACAGCAAATCATACATAACCACGAGAAAGTCAAACAACTCCTCTTAACATTGATTAGCACATTCACTGGCTGGAACAATTTGGGTAAGATTGATTGGTTACTACAAGAGGGGGATTCCTTTGAACTGATTCGTTTAAGCCATGAGGGGTGTACGTGTTAAACTACATGGTTTTCCAACATGTTATCAACCACTATAAATTACTGGGAGATTATCTGGCATCCCAGGTATTTTGCCTGTCTCATGCTGATTTGTGGTTGCTAGGGGGTTGCTATGGGTCCTCTTCTAGTCTAACTGAGTCAGGGACACCTGGCTCTGCAGACCTCTCCTGTTATTTACAGACAAACAACTCAGCAGGGTGGGTATGTGCCTAGAAAGGCTCTGTGGGTTTTTCCAAGGATAAAGGTCATGCTCCTTCCTTGGACAGGCCTTGCTGAGGTAGAGGCTGGATTCTCAAAAATGGAGTCACATTAGTTCCTCACACACATGGGATGTAATTTGCTCCACTTCTGTCCCCAGTGGCTGTGATGTTCCTCCCCCACCTTTCCATCCTCTATCCACTATTATTTATGCACTTATGCTTTATAGAGATGCCTTAAGGTGGAGCCCACTGTGCTGTATTTATAATGCACACTGCATGATTTTGTCCATTCCACTCTCCATTTTCTCACCTCCAGTCCCTCCTGCCCCCTCATACTTTTCTTCTTCTCCACTGATATTTCCTCTATCTATATGATACTAGAGCACCTGCCACACATACTTCTCACCTTTATTTTAATCTTGGTTCTCCAAAAGAGCAAAAACTTCTCACCCTTCACTTTCTGATTTGGCTTATTTCACTCAGCATGACGTCTTCCAGTTCCATCTATTTCCTGGAAATGCCATAATTTCATCTTTTGTTATGACTTAGTAAAACTCCTCTGTGTGTATACACCATATTTCTTTAATCCATTCTCCTGTTGATGGGTACCTTGGCTAGTTCCAAAACTGGGTTCTTGTGAGTTATGCTGGTGTATACATTGATGTGGCTGCATCACTACAGTATTCTGACTTTAGAGATGGATAAATGCCAAGGAGTAGGATTGCTGGGTCACATGGTATTCCATTTCTGGTCTTTGGGGGAATCTCCATAGTTCGTTCCTGAGTGGTTGTACTAAGTTGCAGTTCCACCCACAATGTGTGAGTGTGCCCTTTCCCCACATCCTCCCCAGCATTTATTATTTGTATAAATAAAGATTGTCTTTCTGAGAAGAGTGAGATGAAATCTCAATGTCGTTTTGGAGTCCAATTGTGTGATTGCTAGGGATGCTGAACATTTTTTATATTTGGTCTTCTCAGAAGTATCCATTCAGTTTCTTTGGTAAAATGGTTACTTTACTGGAGTGAGTCCCTGTGTCAGGATTGTAGTGACACTAACATATATTTTCTCTAAACCACCATCTGTCCAAAATGTGTCACCAGGTGTGACCCAGTAATGCTCTCTGCTGGATCCCACAGTGTCACCCAAGCCCATGCTCAGTTCTGAACTTCAGTCCATGCCTTGTCCTGGACCAGTGCTATGTCTGAGGCACAGCAGAGTCCAGCACCCACTGGCCTACTGTGATCTATGCATTGCAGTACACTTGTTCCTGGTGATAAGCAAGTTCATGTTCTATAATGGAAAATGCTGAGTGACCCCTGAGTCAGTGCTGTGCTGGCCACAGTTATTTCCAGTGCCCTGGAGTGCCTGCTGTTAGTGTCTGCAGTTATCCCTGGTGGCACGGGAGGCTCTGACTGTATGGCTACAAACTGTCCTTCCTGTCTTGTCCCTCTGCTGGGACTCTCCAAACATGTCACCCAGGGGATTCCACAGGAACATGATGAAGTAGATGTCTGTACTTCATCTTTATAGAAAATTCACAAAGAGTGGGCCAAAGAACTAGAGTAAGACCAGAAACTTTATAACTGCTATGAAAATCAGAGGGTCAAGTCTCCAACATAGAGTCACAGGCTTCCTCCATAAGATTCCTAAAATTTAGGAAATAAAACAAGGAATTAGCAAATGAAAACACATCAAATTAAAAGTTCTGCACAGCGACAGAAGCAAGTATCTGAAGAAGGATGCTAAAGAACGGGAGAGAATCTTCACCAGCTACCCTTCTGACAGAATGTAGAAAGAACCCAGAGAAACTAATCTCCAAAAACTCGAATACACCAGGCAATAAGTGAGCTAATGAACTAAACAGACATTTTCCAAAAGAAGAAATACAGATGGTCAACAAATGTATCAAACAATGTTCAATATCATTAGCAATCAGAGAAATGTAAATCAAAACTGCAAAATCAATTTCATCTCACTCTAATTAGAATTTCAATAGTGAAGACTAATAATAAATTTGGTGAGGGCATGGGAGAAAGGAGCACCTTTGCACTGTTGATGGAATTATAAATCAGCACAACCACTATGAGGTTAGGAATGGAGATTCTTCAACATTAGGAATGGAGCTACCATGTGCCCCAGCTCTGTCACAGCTTGGCATTTACTCAAAAGAATTCCAGTCAGCATAGTAAACAGCAGTACATGTGCACTCACTGGTTATGCCAGTGACACTCACAATAACTAAGTTATGAAACAACCTGTCAAATGATGAGTGGATGCAAAATGTGGTATATATACACCAGGAAGCTTTATTCAGCCATAAAAAATTACAAAGTAATGTCATTTGCAGGAAAATGAATTCAAATGGAGAACATCTTTTTATGTGAGATAAGTAAGACTCAGAAGGTCAATGGTTGTACATTTAATCTCATATGCAGAAACTGGAAAAGAAAAAGGAAATTGATGAGACAGTGGAGTCTTAAAAATAAACCAGGGGAGGGATGAAGGAGGGAAGGGGAAGGGGGAGGGGGTGTCCAGCAGTGAAACAGACCTGATTATGTGGTGTGCATGTGGTGCCACCATGAACCCAGCTATTCCTGTGATCATCATGCACCAATAACATAGTAATGTAAAAAGGAAACGGAATCTTACTGAAGGTCATCACCCAACCAAGTGGCAGAGCTGCACTTGGTTCCCGTCTTTCATAGGAAACAATGAATCACAGCTCAGTGAAAATTGCCATTGATACTCCCAGAGATGGAGGGAGCAGTGGGTCAGTTTTTATCTATTACAGGAGTGAAATGTTGTTCCCAGTTTGCATTTAGAACATGGTGCAGTGCAGCTGTCAATCCAGTGGAGACATGTGAGCATCGTCATCAGGTAGACCAAGGTGTGAATCCTGGAGATCCTTCTGTGCTAGTGGGCACCTTAGCTAAATTCTCTCTTTTTTGACAGGGGTGGTTTAATACCTGTGTTTCACAGATGAACACTATACAATGAACATACATATTCAACCGTGATGAGTGTATGTTGATT